CGCAGTTTGACGGGCTTATCTGTGAAGACGTCCAAATATTCCAGAACATTTCTTCCAAAGCTTTCAGAGCAGGGGTTCCACCAAACTTTGACAGTTCAGTCGGTATCAAGCCAAATTCGAGGGCTTTTTTAATCCTCAGACTCCCACCCTCATGTGGGAAATCCCATAGTGGTATCAAGTAGTTCTATCAAGTAGAAGAACAGACTTAGCGCTCCAACATCGCTGGGTTACCTATTTCGCCGAGTTTCGCTTAGTACCCAACTCATCATCAGAAAACTAAACTTGCCTCCGTCATTCTTTGTGTCCGGTGCTGTTCTCTACCGCCAAACGCAGACACTTTTTCAGCTGACACTAACTTTCGTCAATGTCGGAATTTGGGGCTGCTCTCTTTCCAAGGTCTTCCATCAAGGATTCCACCTGTCGCTGATGTTGGGCTCTTTCGTCGATCATCTTCATCCTCTCAATCACGTAGCATGACCGGTTTAATTGCGGCCTTATTTAACGCCAGTTTTAGAAGCGAGTCATCAATAACGAGGTAGTGGTCGCTGTTAATGTCAGCGCTACGTTGAATTCCAGTGTCGTACAATAACCGGTGCCAGCGGCAATTGACCAAAATATCTCTATCTGATTTCCAGTTTTTTTGCCGGGAGAAGTCCACATCAGCTGATGGATTTTTTTCTATACGGGGACAGTGATCTTTTGACCATTAAAGGCTGTGAAGTACGAAAGTGCAATGTCGGAGGCCGTTATCGTTGGGAGAATGTATTCCGTGGTGTCCAAGTGCCTTAGCCGGCTCAAGCCTGAGCGTTGAAGTCGCATGTACCAATGTCAGATTGTAGCGCGAGAGACGACTGACCACGGAAGATGGGTCATCGTAGTTGACATACTTCTCTTCTTTCGTCGACCGGTGTGTCCGACAGAGTGGACAACCGTTAAAGGGAAAACGCCAATGAAGCAGCATCTTTCAGGTACTACGACATCGGTCATACGCAATGCACCAACGGCTCATGAAGATGTTCGAATAATAGACAGAAATTCGACCAATTTAACTTCACGGCAAACCATAGTTAAGCGTTATT